AAGAACATCAAAGCCCGCCGCTAATGCCGCATCCTCTGTTGCAACTTTTTGCTGCGGCGTAAAGAAGGCTGGAACACTCACAACGACGGCGTCCACGGGCTCCTTCAGGTACTTTTCCGACTCATGCTTCAGGTACCGCAAAAACATGGCAATGATGTGCACAACGGTGTACGTCCGGCCCATGATTTCTACAGCCACCTCCCCCTTCTCGTTAATCGTCAACATGTTCGTCTTGTGAAGCTGGGATTGAACCCGACCGAGCTCACCCACACCCCTACCGATAAGTCGTTTGCCACTGCACAGCGTTGCGCTTGCACTGGTGCGGACGCACGCCCGAGCTTCCTCCCCGTACAGGCGAACCTTGTGATTCTTGTCAAATGTAATCGCAGTCGGGAACACCCAAGATCCCGTTGGAGAAGGAATAATTTTGGGTTTATTCGTTTCCTTATCAATGTACGAGATGCAACTGTTTGTCGTGCCAAGATCAACGCCAATCACACGACCGTCGCGCTCACGGTTCTCCTCCTTTACCACAACAAAACGATTGCGTGTGGCCTCATCCAACTCCATCCGCCGTTTTGCCTCCATCTCCATAGAGTGCTGCATGTTCACAGTGCTGCCCGGGCGCCGTGGGGGCATGGGCATTGGGAGCTGTTGAAGGAACACGCGTGTGCGTTGAAACCTAAACACACCACAGAAACGCATTTCCCAAAAATCCTCTCGAACGACAGAAATAAACACACAAACAAACAAACAAAAAAAAAAACAAAAACAGATGCAGCACCGAAGTAAAAGTGACAAAAAGAGGGAAGGAATAAAAATTAAAGAAAAAAAAAAAAGTATTTGCGAATTGCCAAATTCACCTCCCAAACGCACACACACACATAGATGGAGAAAAAGAAAAAGAAAAAGGAAGAGGGGCATTTAAGGTTATTTGTATAAATAAAACATACGGAGGAACAACAGTGGCAACATGCAAAATTCGCACATATAATATATATATATATATATATATACGGCAAAGATAAAAGGGCCTAAATTTCGTTTCTCTTTTTTTTTTTTTTTTTTTTTTTTTGTTCACTGAGTTTTTGTCATCCAAGAAGCTGCAATTGGGGAATCCTGAGGCCGTTCATTTCCCTGCGGGGGTGGCAGCGGTGGCAGAAGGCGCTCAACAATTGGGGCGGCTGCGCAGTTCACGGCCACGGCGACAAGAGCACTCGCGATGGGGTACACAAATTCGGCGTCCCACAGAAACTGATAATCCATTTGCCTCCTACAAGAATGCGTTCTCTTGTTCTCCAAACAAAACCCGTCAAAGAAATGAGAAGGAAAAAAAAAAGAAAAAAAAGAAAATAATTCCTGCAGAATTTCCACACTGTCATTATTCCGCGTAAATTAACATGTCTACAGTGTCACCCGAATGAACACACACACACACACACGCACAAAGAGATGAATATACATAAAAAGGCATGGATGTATGTCATGCATGTAAATAGGCACCCGGTACTTCCTTTTTCATTTTGTTTCTTCCCTCTCCTCAGCAACCAGCTCCCAAGAGAGTGAAGGAGCACGTACTAGTCGGAATCACTGTGAACAAGACGGTACAACTGCCGACGCAGCCGCTCCTTCTCCGATTCCGCCACCTGTTTGCTGTGGAGAATCTGCGGCAGCCAACTCCTCTCCAGCTTTGACTGCAAAAACAACAGTCGTCCCTTATGCATCTCCTCCAGAAGGAAGGCAATAAGATTCACAGCGTAACGTGTCAAGCACAGCTCCAGCAGCACACACAGGATACGAGACAATGCACCATAAAAGCCGATTGTAACTTCACTGCCACTGACGCTCCCGTCATGAACATCGCTACGGGGCACCAACATCTTGTACCGTGCCCGCCAATTCCGGTGTCGGTCCAATATGCCACTCTCCTCATCGTAAAGACGCCACCCGTAAAAGCGAAGAAAAACAACGTAACTGTAGTGTACGCGATCCATCATGCTGGGATGACGAAGCTGCTTGTAGTCCTTCCATGTCAATGCCTGAAATATCTCACAATAAGAAATCAAAGAGTATTTGGTAAACTCTTCATTCTTCTTCACGCTGATCTGATCCGCCTCCGTTAGTGTGCATCCCTCCGTCCTCGTGCCAAGCCGCACCGACGGCATGAGAAGCCAAAGTAATCGATTCCAGTTAAGCTGAAGCAGTTCAAGCCCATCTGAACTAGAGAGTCGTGCTGACTGTTCTTCTTCCGAAAAGGATGTGCCGTCCCGACACGGCGGTAAGAGTGCCTGATGAAGGGCAATAACATGTAAACAACTCGTAACATTCTGCGTCTCTCCCTCTTTTTGAGGGGGAAGCCGCACTTGGACGGGACGACTACCGCGATAAAATGACACAGACGGATGTTCCCTAAAGTCTCCTCCCGCCGCCGCCACTTCATCGGCACTCTCACGCAGTCTCGCAAGATGAGCCTCGAGATCACCTCCAAGATCCGGTGTTGACTGCAATGACAACTCGGGACATTCCTTCTGACTTTCTTGAACCTTCCCCATTGCGTGTTTTTTTTCCCCTTCCTCCTTTTCGTTGTTGCAGAAGAATCCTTGGACAATGAAATGGGAAATCTCGGCGGCAGAGAAAAAAAAAAAAAAACGGCAATGACAGACCGGAACTGCCCCACACGTGACAGATACAACCAAAGCAATGGCATGCTTATATATATGTATATATGCACAAACAGACACATAAGCAGAAAAGACCAACAACTAAATGTCACCAAACGAAGTGCCAAAAACAGCGTCGCCCTACCTCCCCAGCCATTTCTCTCACGTCAGTTTTATCCAGCATTGCGTGCACCCAGAAAGAGAGAGACACGCAGATTCACACACTAAATGTGGGACGAAAAAAAAGTGGGAATTCGTTAATTTAATTGCCCTTGAGGCGCGTGTTGCTCTCATTCCTCCGAGCGACGGTCCAACGGATGCAGTTTTGGCAGCGCCACCACCGGTCTCGCCACGGGGGCTCCACGATAACGTCCACGGAACATCTCCGTGTCTCCGTACGGCGACGGTAAAAAGCCCTGCAACGGCCTCTCCCCAACACCGCCGCCGCCCACTCGCCACTCAAACCCAAAGTGCAACACATCCTTCAACTTCTTCGCACTCTCCAACTCCTGCACATCGCGGAGTGTTCCAACTAATTTTTTATTCACGAACAACAATGGCAATTCGGGGGTTTGAGCCACCTCCAGAAGCTGCCGGCGTAGGGATTCTGCATAAATGTGATGGTCCAGCTGTACCACTTTCATCCGCGTGCAGTACCACGACACATAGTGACGCAGGTGGCCAGTTTCAATGGGGCGTGATCCAGCAGTAAACATCACGGCCCAGTAGCGGTCCATGTACTCCTTTAAATGTGGCGAGAGAAATGGGCGCCATCGCTCGGACGACGGCATGTCGACCAAAGACACACACACACACACACAGAGAGAGAGAGAGAGAGGAAGAGGGAGAGACACACGCAACTTTGTTACTATTTTTTTTCCCCCGAATAAAAAGTGAGAGATCAAAAAAAAAAAAAAAAGATCAAAAAGCAAAAGGAAGAACATTCAGTCATATGCAGGCATTTCCTCCTTTGACAGAAGGAAATTGACCCACCACGGGTGGCGATTCCACACCAAAAGAGAAAAAAGAAGCAAAAGAAATAACACAGACACAAACACACACACACACAAAAAAAAAAAAAAAGGAAAAAACTCAGCTATTAAAAAAAGAGTTTCCAGCACACCTCACTGTAGCAATATGTTTACCCAGTAAAAGGCATGTGCTTTCTGTAATGAGAATCACAAATAAAACAGAGAACAGAGAGCCTGCTTATATATATATATATATATATGCCAGTATGCTTTCTTCTAGTGTAGGGCACGAAGTGATAGATGGACGCATGCGCTTCTGAAAGTTACTCACACGCACACCCCGCACTTTTTTTTTTTTTTTTTTCATCCTTCGAGAGTCAATGGACACCACCCACCAAAAAAGTCCGTCCACCTTGTGTCATCACACACTGCCCCCACTACAGTGCTTCCTTGACTTGGGAAGTAAACTGCGGCTGAAGGTCCGCATGGTGTGCAGGTCTCGCTTGTCCAGCCCCAACTCCAATGCAAGTTGACGTGTGCGAAGGGGCAGAAACTCATTTTCCGGTGATACTTCTCGCATCATCGCAGAACATGTCAGCCGATGGCCTTCCCACCGCCGCCACTCCACAGCTCTGCCACAATCTAAGCAAAGAACGATCTGATGCTTTTCCTGGTGTGGTTCCAGTCGCTCCAGCGGAATACGTGTGTTACACTCGCTGCACCATCGAACCTGTCGGATGCATTCATTCCAATGGCTGTAAAATTCATTGGTGGGCACATATGACTTGCAGTTGCGACACCACTGCTCGGCAGCGCTAGAAAGTGGACGGTTAGAAATGCGTTGATAATAAATACGTGTCGGCTCATGAATCATTCCGTCCAAACGCACAAAGTCTTGTGTCCGCTGAATGCTAAAGTCATCAAAAGAGCGCATACGAGCAAGAATATTTCCAAGATCATTTGTATCCGCAAGACGGTGGCAATCAATTTCTACGTTGTATGCATGTTGGTAATTTAGAATATTCAATGGGGAGATACTTTGCCGTGGGAATAATGGGAATTGTTGAATCTCGTAGCGTACCTCGGGATAAAAAGAGTGGTAAACACTAACACGCATTCGAGGCACTTCGACGGTGCGATGTACAGATGGAAAGTGCACCACGAGCACGTGTTCCTTCACTTGCAGCACCTCACCCACGGTACCCGGGGGCACACCAAAGGAAGCCGGAGCACCTAACAAGAGATGCACCGATGATCCCACGTCAAGATTTAACGAGTCGACGAGAGAAAACGACGAGAGTAAAGAAGACTGCAACAACATGCTCACAATGTAATTCCCAATCTCCGTCCGCTTCAGTGTACGAAAACGAGGTGGTAATACCCGAATTGCTGGTTGTTTCGGAAAACGAGATGTAAACTTTACGATAGCCTCCACGTTGGAGATTAATTTCTGAGGTGGCAACGACGCAACATGGCCGGCAAAAAGACTGCCGCTTTCTTTTCTCTTATCATTGTTATTATTGCTCTCATGTTTACTGTGACGTCTACCACTCCCGCAAGACGACTCGTTGGAAGCGCCGTCCTCCTCATCATCATCAACATCACTTCCGTCCGCATCCTCCACCCCTCGGCTTTCGTCTTCCTTCTCCACAGTCAACCCTCGCGTCGCGGATCGTGCCTCCAGCTCTTCAATATCACCCGGTGTGAGGAGACCGAAGTACGCTTTGTTGACCAACGACGTGAGTCTCCGTGCCTGTCCGTGAATTTTCTCCAACAGCCGTTGCCGCGGGAAGAGCTCATCCCAGTTGTCCAGCTGATAAACGTAGCCGCCCGTGTCGCTGCTGGGGTGTACAGGCAGATGCCAAAAGTCTGCGGCCGCAAAAACGCGAAGGCCACCAAACGGCTCTCTCAGGCGTCCACGCAGGTCTCGGCAAACTCGGTCAATGGAAGTGAGGATGGTGGGGGCTACTTGATCGACGGCGTCAAAAATAAATACATCCGCCGTCGCCAGGCTGGGAACACAAGAGGCATATGTGGACTCGCACAGACGCGCATGACGCCCCAAAGCGCCCTCAAGTTGATCCTGCGACGGAAGCTCGTTTTTCCCAAAGTAGCGCAGTCCGAGGAAGTGATGCAGCAGCATTCCGTCTATGCGACAGGCACGTTTTGAATCCGCAGACACATAAACCACTTTCTTCCCCTTCTTTTCACACACCTCACCGATGGCCTTAAGAATTGTCATTTTGCCTGTATGATAGGCACCGCAGAAGATGATGTTCTCCTCGGAGGCAAGAGCCTCGGCAACATAGCGCTGGGTACTCGCCGAGTTTTTGTGGCGCAGTGCATGGATGTCACCCTTAAACCCGTGAGAGTCCACCTCTCGCACGAGATGGCCAAAGCCACGTGCAGCCGTCAAGAGCAATGGTGAGAAAAGCGCGGGAGATCTTTCAATGGACATAAAACTCATTGAGCGGCACAAACCACTGGCACGTGGCCCATTCCTGGTGGCTGTACTCATCAGCCTACGCAGAAATACACCGCCAGCATAATGAGCCTTGTTTCTGCGCTCCGAAGCGGCAGTGAACCAGCGGCCAGGCATTTTCCTCTCACCGACTCACTGGCCAAACTGACAAAACACAGCGAAAAAGAGAAAAAGTCCCAATTAAAGAGGCAAACTACTTTTTTTTCCCTTTTCCTCTTCTGTTTGTCGCACAACCCTAAGAAAGGAGGAAAACAAAAAAGTAGTTGAAGCTGCGGCAATCGTAAAGCACACACACACACACAGAGAGAGAGAGAAATAAAAAGCGAAACTTCATAAGAAAAGCAAAAACAAAATAAAATATATAAAAAAATAAACACGTTTCCACCTTCTCAGCCCGTCCTTTTTTTTTTTTTTTTTCGTTCCGCCCATCCTCGCGCAAAATAGAAGAAAAGGAAAAAAGGGGGTCAACGTGTGACAAAACGCATCTGTAAGTGTGCATGCATGCGCGGCTATCTGCACTTTAGACACGTTACTTTTTCTTTCTTATTGTTGTTGTTGTTCTCCGCTTCTTCCTCCTCCTACATTTTCCCCCATCCCACCCCTGTGACGCGGCTCACAACGCACCATTCACCAAAATAATCACACAAACACAACTTCTCTCCCTTCACCTCCTCTTCAGCTTCTAATAAGGAACCCTATGATTCCATCAAATGTTCTCGCCGTGGCAGCTCCACCGGCTCACTATCCGTTAAAGTCACAACGTGGCGCCTATGCTGAAACCAGTACACAATTTTAAGTTCTTTTTCCTCCTCTGTGAAAGGATCGGGGTCAGTGAACCCCACAAGTTTGCTTTTCGAACCCTCAGGTAACACAAGCTGCGAGTCCCGAACAAAGTTCTGAAGCGGAACTGTAACGTCTAGCACCAGAACAGATGATGCAACGGCATCTTCTTCAGTGATAATTTCTTTACTCTTAGCGACAGACCCCGCTAGTGACGCTGTCAGCTTCGTTCGCCACCGTCGCCACCACGGCAACCGTTGTGACGCATTCGCCGCACCGTTTTTCACCGGCGAACAAAGTGACTCTGGGTAACGAGGATTCAGTACACCATATTTCGCATTGATGATAACAAGTCCACCAATTTTCTCTTCCGCTAAACGATTTCGTAAGGAAAGAACTTCCACCGCCTTCTGCTCGTGCATAGCACGCACACGCGCCAAGTCCATTTCCGTCCTGTGCTCCAAACGGCGCTGACGATAAATCGTTGCTAGCCTCGAGCGCTGGAATGGGTGCCAAGCTACTCGTGCCGCACGATAACACACCCACGGCGTCATCAACCACAATAGCACCCACCGAAACTCGGAAGAAATAAACGCCGCAACTGGAATTTCAATGCGATGTTGTTTCCGCGTGTAAAGGAAAGAGATAGTATTCGTCGCCCTCCCCCTGCTGTTACGCGTCTTGTAACCAATAGGAAGGATGGATAAAGATAGGTCGGTTGCAAATCCAATGCCAATCGATTGCCACTCGCTAGTATTGTACCATGCCTCAAAACCAATTCGACCGAATCCGCTCAAAGGCAACAATGAGACGGTCTGGGAGATAAATCCCCGCTTCTCCTTCCCAGTTTCCTCCTTCTTTTTATCGTTACTTGTGATGAATGATCCGTTGTACAAAACAAACGCCAGAACCCCATACCCCATAGAGACAGAAAAACTTTTATTTAGCCCATCCGCAAAACGAAAGACGCTGGTTTTTAAAACACCATTCTCTGTGAGAGACATAATCAAGGTGTTCTCCAATGACCATACACGGGAGAGTTTTCGATAGAGGGATACCTCATACCGCTCCAGTAAACTCCAGGCATTGAGAAAGAGTAACTTTGTTTTAAGTGACCACAGGGCGTTCAGTTCACGAAAACGTGAAAATTTTAGTCTCATTCCCTTCAAAGACACTTGGCAAGAGGCTTCGTACCCGTGGATAGCATCCGGTACATAGCTCAGTTTTCCTCCACAGCCTACATGCATTCTGGAGCCCTGATGGCTTGCAATTGTTAAAAACTGCATATTAAGGTTCGGTTTCAGCTCGTGCTTAAAGGAGTTACGAAAAAATATTGCTTGTGGCAAGGCTGCCAGAAACAACTTTTGCATAAGAGTAGCGGACGAAGGAGGTCGCGAAACAGATGGTACGTGAGAGGCGGTGTGACCCAACGCACCCATCCTCTGCCGCAACATTCCCTCTAACTCGGGGGAAGGCACCAAGACGAGTCGTTCTTCCCCGTCCAGTTTGACCAGTTGGACCTGCATTTGTGTGTTTTGCATAGACATCTGAGAATTTTTAGTAGGGGCTTTCGTCCCACTAGACGCACCCGATCGATCAACATTCTTTTCGTCCCCACCTCCCTCCTCGTCTCTCTCTCTTGCTGCCTCTGTTGTCGACATGTTCGTTGGGGCGGATTCTTCTTTACCGTCTTCCTTCTCCTTCAAAGAAGGATGAGGACGTGGAGGTGGAGACGGTGACGGTAAAGATGCATCATTCGCAACGTTCGGGATAAACAACTGAGCGATGGAGTAGGAAAGTTTAAGCATGGAGTTTGTCGAGAGCATATTTTCCAGCTGAAGCACCTCCTGCTCCTTCTCCAACATCGTCACGTAGCGAGCAACGTCCTTGGAAAGTGTAATATTCTCTGGAAGAAGTGACACCATGTTTACACCCTTTGATCCCACCGCATCATATGCAGCCCGCTGTTTCTCGTCCGAGAGTATCATGTATGCCTCCTGCAGCTGCTGAAAGCGCTCATTCATTAGCTGTTGAATCTCCCTTGATTCCCCGCCGTGCTTGTCGGTGTGGTACGCCTGACTCAAATACAAAAAGGACCGGCGAATGGAACTCTGCGAGGCATTCTGTGGCACCCCAAGAGCGGCGTAGTATCCAGACGGATCCGGCTCCTTTTTCTGGCCATCGCCAACTGGACGATGCAAGAACGTCTCTTCCCGGAATTCCTCCTCTGTCTCCTCCATGCTCACCATTGCCCCGTGCCTTGTTTGTATTCCGCCTCTTGTTCTTCTGCTCGCACCGGCGGGGGTGGATGGCGGTGGTTGTGGCTGTGACGATGAAAATGTAGTTGCCTGCACAACTCTTGTATCTTCCACCGCTCGTTCTCTATGATGTCAAATGTTTGCCTCCTCTTTTTGTTTTTTTTTTTGGGGTGGGGGGAGGAGGGGAGAGAAGGGTGTTCTTTTTCCTTTGCCCACCTCTCGTTATCTTCGATACGCCAATTTGGTCCTCCTGGCAAAAAAAAAAAAAAAAAAAATTGCGAGAAAATGGAAGAACACGGATACAGCAAGAAGCGTTGAAAGGGTAAAAGCCCACAGTGTCAAGCAAAATGTTCGTCAAGAGGCGGTGAGAGGAGTCGCCCCGCCCCACCACTCTCCTATCGTCATCTGGGGTGTTGTTGCGTGGGTCCCTTACCGTAGTCAAACCGGAGGGTTCCCCATCATCAACTCAAGAAATAAATCAGGCAATACACACAAAGAAAAAACAACAAATCGACACAATAAAATACAAAATCTTAAGAAAAAAAAAAAAAAAAAAAAAAGTCATGAAAATAATGAGGAGAAAATCAATGAGAATGGTGTGAGCTCAAAGAAGATACAAAACAAAAACTCACGTCTGGAATAATTGAGCCCAGCAGTTACCTCCCCGTACGGTCACCTCTATCCCCCACAATCTTCATCATCATTATCATTATGGGCAGATACAAACACACACACACACACAAAAAGCACAAATATGCGTGTATGTAAGTACATTTCTTCAATTCCTTGTAATTAACTTCAGTACGCTCTAATTCTCTTCTCACCACTCAGTGTGAATTTCTTCCCCTCTGAAATTCGTCTTCCCTCCTCCTCCTCCTCCACTCGTCCAACTCTCACTGCCGCTCGCTAATCACTTGGCAAGACCTGGGTGCGTCGGTCAGTAAACATATTTTGTGCGGCGTGCATTTTGGATCCATGGCCAGGCAAGACTGCATTTAACGCGTTTCGGTGAGAAGCCCTCTTATCTCCCATTGTTCCCGCTGCTGTCCCATCGGAAAACCCCGCTGATTGGTCCTGCTGCCGTGGTAATTCGTTGGCAAATATTATTTTTCTCAGGGCGTCAAACCACAAATCAAACTTGTCACGCAGCTCCGTAGCAAGTATAACTGTCTGTTCTTCTCTGACCAAAAAGAAACGATAAAAAGTGCGCTGCGTTGCCTCATCAAACATGCAGTCTGGGCGCAAGTCCATTACGGCATCCAGCCTTAGATGCGAGAGAAGAACAAATGACGATCGAGGACTTGGTCCCCAAAGAAGTGAATGACGTTGTATATCAAGCCAGACATACCGCTCATGCACACGGCCATGTCGGGTCCACTTGTAAAACCAGTCACCCGACTGCAAGGTCCCCAAGGCAGGACCAATAAGAATGTACTTAGAGAGAGAAGAGGTGGAAGGACCCATTTGGCTTTGGGAATTCATTTCTGTAGCACGTTGTTCGCGAAAATCCCCATCCGAAGTGCGTTGAAAGCCCACCCATTCGTTGCTGTCGCAATGGTAAGTGCGGCAGTCAGCCGGGGCGCTGTAATCGGGAGCGTAGCAGAATGCCTCAAAGGTCTGATTGCGGAACGGGTTCTTTTGGGTGAATGCGCTCTGAACGACAAATGGATTATAAAAATGAGAATCTTTCAGTGGTGGCTGTGATGGCTGTGATGGTTTTTTCTCTCCCACCTCAGCCTCGTGACTCCTCGAATTGCCTGCCCCAATGTCATCTGTCGTACCCACGTTCTGAATCTCCACGTCGTGTGAGGAAAAAGATGCATGACAAGCGTGCTGAACAGTCGGCGCCAAACCGGGCCGCCGTGTTTCACGAGACACAGCATTTCGTGTTGATGACGTCAGTGCTGCCTCTGGCCCAGCAGCGGTTGGAATCGCTACGCCATCTGCATTATCTCCCTGAGCCGCTTTGGAGGGTTTCGGTCCACGTGTACGTGGCACACGGACCGGCGACGGTACTCTTTTATCCCTCAGTGCACCTGCTGGCATATGCTGCGGCGGTGGCGGAAAGGCGGCGGCCTTGCGACCCGGGCGCAAAACTTCATCACTTTTCCCAGTATCCTCAGAAACTTGGGTGCCGGGTGATACGAGAACCACCGGTGGCGGTGGCAGTGGCGGCGGCATTGGCTGCGATAAATTCAGTGACAATCGTTCATCTGCCGCCTCACTGTGACGCAGCGCCTGCCCGGGCGGCTTCAAAGAGGGGATGGTGTTGATACTACGACTATTATTGTTCCCGGCACTTTTTTTCACCTTCTCCTCCCCCTCTTCGTAGGGGTTGAGGAGAACAGGGGCGAGTATTGTTCGGTGCCTACGGCCTGCATGAAGAGACATGGACTCACTCGACTACTCCGCAGCAGACTCAAAAACCCCTTCTTGTGTCTACACTTTTTTCTTTTTCGTTATTGTTTTTTTATTAAATTATTTTAGCCCTTTTTAACGTGTCTGCAAAGTCACCAGACGCAAAGGATGCGAGTCGCATTACGACCAGAGAAACAGAGAGACAGAGAGAGGAAGGGAGAGAGAGAGAGAGAGAGAGAGAAGACATGTTAATAGGAGCGCGATGCAGCCAGCATCCGCATTCAATAGGTCTCAAAGGAAACCACCCGCTGTCGGCAAATTCACATGACAATCAAAAAAAAAAAGAGAAAGAGGGAAAAAGAAAGAAAGAGGGAAAAATAACACACAAAGGGGTGTTAAAGCAAAAATTTAAAATAAAAGTAAAAATAAAAAATAAAAGGCAAATAAAACGTATCTGAAGAAAGTGACTGTGAAAAAATAATAGCTCTCTCTTTGATGAGTGCAGGGTAACCCCCTCAGTTCTGCAGTATCTCAAGAGCTCGCTGCAGCACACGCTGCCGCGTTGTGAAAAACATGTCGTCGCTTTCATTATCCACAGCATACAACATGCGGAGTGTTGCCTCGGCATCTTCCTCCAATCGAATGGATGAAGCCACCTTTAAGAAAATAGCCCCGTCCTTTTTAAATTCAAAATCGTTGATTTCATCTGGAAGGCAACCCTTCAGCCGTGCAATCTTTGCTGTGCAGACCCAAAGAAGAACTTCCCACAGATCACTTGGATCAGCCGACTCAATGGAATCGCATGCACCTTCACGCCCAACTTCCTTTCGAATGGTGGTGTTCTCTGTCACTGCAGTAACAGCAGGAGAAAATGAAGTCGGGTACTTAAGAAGTCGACGTAATAAAAAACGTGGGAGTTCCGGAACACACGCAAAAAAACCCGGCGACATGGCAAACAAGACGCGTAATATTCGGCGGGCATGTGACGGCAACACATTGGATGTCGGAAGCAGGAGAAGTTGTTGGTGACATTCAATAAAAAACAAAGCGGCAGGTGTGAAGAACGGTGCCATGTCACCTGCGTCTTGCGAACATTGCTTTGCTCCTCTACAGGCAACGTCAGAGGGTGTCATGCACATCCAGTTGGTAGACTGCAAAGCAGCAAATGGCTCCTCGACGGGGTCCGTCTCACATGTCGTCTTCTTGCCTTGCATAAGCACAGGGGCGAAGAACTCCACGTATGCAGCAATAATGTCAGCGATACCGCGATGGCGCAGTAGGCAGTGGCATGTTACCCATGTGGATTCCACCATGATTTCATCGGGCTTGTGCCACAACATCCCACCCAGACACGTCTCGCAAACAAACCAATACGCCCCACCAGAAATGAGAGTTCGATAGTCGTTCTCGTCCTCTTCGTCTTCTTCTCCATCCCAGCCGCTGTACACCCCCTCCTGCCGATTCCTCACGGCACCAAAACAACGACGCATGCCGCTTTCCACAGGCAGCAAGAGAGCACAAAGACGGCTCAAAAGAAGCCGATGATCCTCAAAAAGACCAATGACGGCGCCTTTCTGTACACAATTAGCAGCTGCTCCAATATGCAACATGCCACGGGCAATGGCAGCAACATCTTCGTCCACGAGAGCGGTTTTCCCCACCTCAAATCTGCCCTGTATGTGTCTCAGGCAGTTACTCCACATTGCTTGGACGGCCTCTCGCATTGCAATAGTCTCCTTCCTCATCACCTGCAACGTGGATTTGGGCAGCCTTGGGAAATTAACAATCAAGATGCAGCACAACTCCTCCAGTAGCAAAATCAAGAGCCGGATGGACTGCGGTGACGCATTAAGACTGCCCGGCAACCTCATACGTGCGGTATTCCACAACGCGTCCAGTGAAAAGCATTCTTTTGAACTTGGTGCCGCCCCCCACCTCCGCAATGCTCTTACAAGCGTCAGGTAAAACGTGAGCGAAACCAAAGCATCGTTATCACCACCACCAGCACCGACATTCGACCACGTAAGACGACGCAACGCATCACCAAGAAGAGCCGTTCGAACTTCAGCATCGTCAGACTCTTTATTGGCGTCAAATTCCTCGCACGTGGGAGAGCAAGCATGCAGCACCTGAGCTGCCTCGCAACACGCACACCATGCCCTCACGGTCAAATAGTTTCCTCCAATGCCAAGTTTGTGAATTGCATTGCATGACGATGGCGCCTTGTCCTTCTGAGCTCCAGTAACCAGCAACAGAAGTTGCCGTAACAGTCCCAGCCCTCTCTTCAAAATGTTGTCACACGCTTTTGTTATCGGTTCATTAACAGCCGAATTCAACTCCATCAAAACACTGCAGTGGTAAACCGCAAGAACAGTTGACAATGCACTCAATACATCCACGTGTAGGGTGTAGAGACCATTGAAAGTCTCTATTTTATTATCTTCATCGAGATACTCCAGACAAGCCGCTTCTTCTAATGTAAAGACCTCAGCAAGTTGCAATACCAACTCCATCCAGCGTTCCATTGAAACGACCCAGTGTTGCCGCTCACACGCCTTGCGAGTAAGGAGGCCAACCAGCACTACTCGAACCTCCGATAGTGCGTCCCGCACGGTACAAGCCTTTATCAATGCCCCACCCTGCTTGTCGCTCTGTAGCATCGTCGACAATGCTGAAAGGCCAGCAAACAGCATGTTACACAAGCCTTGATGGAATAGGAGAAGATATTTCCCATACAAGCACAGGCACTGCCCCGCCAAATGCCCTAATTCTTGCAGCTGTTCCGGCGCAATGACAACGGGTGAATTAGGTTCATTTATTTCACGCCAGGCCACGTCAACCCTACGCATCACGGGTGAAAAGACATCCGCAAGAAGCCGCAGGCGATGTGCTTGTAAAGAAAGTGTTGAGTGGTGGACAAAACGTGCCACATCCACGAAAAGTTGAAGTGTCTGTAGAAGTGAGTCCACTGGCTCAAGCCTGCAGCCTCCCCGCCCCTTTCCCTCCCCGACGTCGAAATGTAATGCCAACGTTTCATCCCAGGCGGTGCTCCCTGCTGCTGTGAGCCTCCGCAAACGGATCCAAAGCGCACTGAAGAGTGTCTCCTCCATCGGGCCCCATTGAGTGATCAGAGCCTTGTGCTGGTCACAGTTCGGCACATGACGATACCCACAACGCACCAGTGATAGCAGCAATGGTAGCTGAAGAAGAACACCATTTCCATCCACGCAGTTTACCAAATGCGTGGCGACGCCGCTATCGGCACACGGGTGCTCGCTGCACAAGACCTCAGCCGCCTTCAACGGCGATATTGGCGCCACGAGCAACCGATCACGCAGCAGTGAAAAGACGGAGTGCATGGCCCTCATCGTGAGAAATAAAAAAAACGACACGTCTGCTGTGTCTTGTTGGTATCATTCATACATCCACCGCAGCATAAAGACACGCAAAAAAATAAAGAAAGTGGGCGAAAAAAAAAAAAAAAAAAACCACAAACTCAAAAACAAATTGTAGAAATAATAATAATAAAAGTAATAATAATATACAAGAAACACACATTGCAAGAACAGAGAAAAAACAAACAAACAAACAAAAAACGTTTAAATTGTAATGAGGAACCACTTTTAAATAATACCACCTCATTCCTTTTTTTTTTTTTTGATTGTTATCAATTCGGCAGAGCCCGTTACACGGAGGGAAGCCAAACAAATGGAATCCAACAAAATCTAATAATGAGGCGTGAATGGAAAAAAAAAAAAAAAAGCAACACGCATAAATCAATAATACGATTGCGATCGATGTTTCCTTCACTCCTCTCCCTTCACTCCATTTACTCAGCCCGTCGCCTCTTCTGTGGCTGTTCTGGCACCACGACCTCTGCGTCATCCGCTGCGTCATCCAGCGCGTCGTCCTCAATCCTGAGCTCGTCCAGCATCTCTTCAAGCGCAATCTGCGGCACCCCATCATCCTCGTCTCCCTCTTCTTCCGGTTCCGCGCAATCTTTGCCATTCTTTGCCGCACGTTGAGCCAACTCAAATTCTGACATCTTGTAAATGGGCACGTCACGGCGGAACTCTGCGTCACGCTCAAGGTCGTCCTCAAACTCCCGCCGCTCCTCCTCAAGCTCCTCCTGACGTTTTTCATTGCGTCCCATGGACATAGGATCCAGGACGTCCAAATGCTTAAGCTTCCATACACGCTTGTGGCGCCGTGCCCTTTGGGAAGGGAAGTGTTTCCGCACAAGGAACACCTCTTGGAGTTGCTCCGGTTTGTACCGTTGACTGTCCCATTCCTCGTTGTTAAAGTTCTTTCCCTCCAGCAGATACCCCATCGCAAGATCACCAGGTTGCAACAATCCACCGAGGTGCGATGTCACAATCCACTCACGCCCCTGGCCAACCTCGGAGGATAGGCAGAGAGTCACCACACCGAGTTGATAACGGCCGTTTGTTACACCTGTGGGAGTACATTCCAGCACGTAAAATTCCGTGAGTTCACGGGAGCTCATAAAAGTAGGAAATGGTTTCTTCCAGTAATACTGACCCGTAAACTCACCAGCGCGCAGGGTTTTTGGATCCAGTAACACAATACTGCTGTATACTTTATGCACAATGACAAGAGGGCCAAGTCCACCAAGTTTCAGATAGTAATTTTGGTAAGGAAGCAAGAGAAGATCTTCACGGCACAGTGGAGCAATTTCAACCGAAAACGTATGGTGTTGTACAGCTGTATTATTCTTGCTATCGTGTGATACAAGCTGCACGGCGTCTCGACGTGTTATAGGGCTATTCCGATTTAAAAACTCCAAAAAATTCATTGCATGGCTCTTATGCGCAAAAAAGAAATCCAAGCCATCTGGCTTAGACTCAACACGAATAAAACTCTCATGTAATTTATGTTTTAATATAAGTTGCTCAAGAAACAGAAATGTTTTCTTATGTGTGGTTTTCTGTCGTACCTGAACACACGCATCCCACTGTGGTTGTCCTGTTGCTACCTTTTGACAGGTTGGGCACTGCTGCCAGAGGACAACGTACTCCACCACGCATGCTTGTTGAATGACAATATTGTTCAATACTTCCTTCTGAAGTACAAGTTTCACTTTCAGCCGTTTTGAGTGTGGCTCTGTCCATATAAAGTTGGCATCAACCAACTTAAACACATTTCGGCTCATCCCTTTGATGCGTTTGAGGCAAATTGTAAGCAATTCACGGCTTTCCAAATCTGCACGACTCCAATACTGTGGAGGCTGAAGATAGCGGGTACATTCCGGGCAGTATACAATAATATATTCCTTTTGCAAAGACTCGGTGATGTCGACATGTGAACGGAGACAACTGGGGCACATGTTGCTTGGGTTGCTGTCAATCAACAGGCCACACATGCAGCAGAGGACTTTTGGGATAATCTTCTCGTCACACTCATGCTGAAACTCACCGTCCAAGTCCATAAATACACACAAACACACAAATATGACTCTTCCTGCAGTTGCTGCTGTGCAAAAAAGAAAAAAACGGTAGGCCTCTCCCCAAAACAAAAAAAAAAAACGATCCAACCACAGGAATAAATAAAACATTGCATCTGAAAAACGCTCCCCCACCTCCAGCAAAAACCACACACACACACACAGAGAGAGAGAGAGAGAGAAGGGAAATTTCATACAATCTGAGCAGATATTTGGAAAGGAAGAAGAAGGGAAGGAAAAAAGAAAAAAAAAAAAAAAAAAGGGAAGGGCAACAGAAGCAGATAGAAAGTCATGCTACCAAGCGATAAATACGCAGGCAAATAACATCCGTACTTTATATAATCCACAATTTCCTCTTCTTCCTATTCCCGGTGCTGTCATCTCACAAAAAAATAAAAATAAAAATAGAAATGAAGTCCAAATGGCAAGAGGTTGGGAGGGGATTATAACCCCACTTCCTCCTCCCCTCCCTCACTGTTTTCGTTTCTTCTCCCTCGGCAGGGAGGACAGTCCCGTAATAAATGCATTGCAATCGCCATCATGCATACAGAGATGAGCGTCCCAAGCAGAAACAATGAGAAAAAAAAGAAAAAGAAAAAATCACGAAACAAAACAAAAAGATGTCAGAAGCAAAAAAAAAAAAAAAAGAGAATGGAAATAAAAGAGAAAGAGAGAGAGAGAGAGGAGGAAAAACAAAACAAAACAAAAAAAGGTGTACGGCGTTAATAACCACCAATCGACACAATTAGTAACGCGGGTCCTTCCCAATTTTATTCGTCTTCCTCCTTTCTTTTTTTTTTTTTTTTCTTCTGCTTTTTGCTACCATTCTCTGTTTGTGTAATACATGTAGACTCGTGCCATAAGGTACACACATACGCCTAGAACTCTCATTTTTCCTTCTTGTCTGTTTGTTTGTTTACTCTCGAACTCCGCTCCCTTTCCATTCCCTTCCCTTCCACACACACACACACAGGCAGGCAGGCAGGCAGGCAGACACTTCCACACCAAATAAATACATCCGCACATACATGAAACACAGAAATCTCCTCAATATTTCACACACACACTCTCTCTCACCCTATCACCCTTTCTCTTTCCATCCCTCCATCTATCGCCCACCACAAAACGGAGAAACAGACATGAAAACACACACGCAAGCCGACGTATACATTCAAAGTAAATACAAGTAACAGTAAGGCACACACACACACAGAGAGAGAGAGAAAGAAACACATATATTCATATTTTTATATATACAGCTGAAATATTAGTTACTTTAAGCAAATTAAGAATTGATAACCAAAAGTAAAACCAAAAAAAAAAAAAAAAAAGAAAAAAAAAGGAAACAAGCATATATACATATCTACATACATATATTCCTAAATCTATTATATTATATTATATTATACATATATGTATGTGTATATAATATAATTATTGAAACAAAAAAGAAAAAGAAAACGCATTACTACCCGCACAAGCAATACACTCAGAAAGACACAACAACAAAAAAAAGCAGAAAAAAAGAAAGATAAACATGCATATAAATATAAATTACAAGTTTTTTTTTTTTTTTTTTTGGTTTTCTTTCCCCCTCCCTTTCGTCCCTTTCCTTCCTTAGCACCTTCCTCATTTATCCAATCTCTCTCTCCCTCTCTCCCTCTCTCTCTTTTCCCACACACACAGTTGTGGTCTCCTTGTTTTTCTTCGGAAGCGATTAAAACACAAAAGTCATGAAAATTTCCCCTCCCCGCTATCATCGCTTAATTTCACCACCACCACCACCAACACCACCGTCTCCTCCCTCCTTCGGTCCTCCTTCTGCGGCCTGCCGGGGGAAGGGGGTGGTGGTGGCGGTGGTTTCAGGACGGTGCATCGCCTGTCACAGACGCGTCTTTCCGTCCCACACATACACACGTGTATACATACACACATATATATTTATTTATTAAAGAAAGAAGGAAGGCGAATGATACGCAGGCACGTATCAAAAGTGTGGTATGAGTTAAAAACAAGAGCTCACATGTATACATGCATGCATG